TTCCCTGGTGCAGCAGGTTAGGAGGTGATCCGGGTGACCCCAGAGAAACCACAGCAGACAGACAGACAGACATTTCCAAGGCTTTCTGCTCATCAAGGCACAGGGCCCTAAAACGAGCTTGGGCCCTCCAGTTAAGGCCACTATTGTGGTCATCACTAGACTTAGTCCTGCTCATACCTGGAATGCAGGCCAAGGCTCTCACCTTAGCAAGCACTGATTTGGGGACACACCCCCATCAAGATGGCCTGGCTGAGCCAAGCCTCCTCAGCCTGACCTCTTCTCTGGGACATGCCTGCTGCAGCGATCCTATTCTCCTCTTTCCTTTTGCCAAGAAGCGATCTCCCCCATGTGCCTGCACCCCAGCTCTGCTTACCTTGTCTCCCTTGGGGCCTGGCGGGCCACCTGGATCCCCCTAGGGTAGAAACAGGGTCAGGTGGATGTTTCCCAGGGGCCTCTCACTTCAGTGAGATCTTCTACCCTGACCCCTGCCTCCAGCAGGACCCATGGGACAGAGCCTTATTTCCTCCACCCCTGGCCAGGGCAGGAGAGGCAAGGGGGTACTCACCGGGGTCCCGGGCAGTCCTATCCCAGGGGGCCCAGGGAGGCCGGGGGGCCCAGGCTCTCCTGCCAGCCCTTCAGGCCCCACAAAGCCAGGGTCTCCCTGGCACAGACATAAGGAGGGCGTGAGCAAGCTGCCGCCTCAGCCTGCCACCTCCTGTCCACCCCACAGACACCCACAGCTCACCTTCTGCCCTTTGGGCCCGATGACACAGATCTCTCCTGGTCGGCCCTGTGGGGGTGGGGAGGATGTAAGAATGGCTGGGCCTGAGGCCTGGCACCTCCTCCACCTGGACAGGCAAATACCCACCTGTCCCACTCCCACTGCCCCTCCCCCAAACCAGAGCCCACCCCAGTGCCCCAGGGCTACCAAATGTCAACTTCGTCAGGGGCTCTGAGGCTGGGAGTCAAAAGGCCTGGGTTCAGGTCCTCCTCTACCCCAGGGACACAGCCCCTCTCTTCCCTCCCCCTCCCTGGGCCCCTGTTCTGCTGTCTGAGCAAGGGGAGGGGCTGGATTCTGATGGTGAGATTCCAGCCTTTCTAGACCCCATGCTGGGGGCATGGCTGGAAGGGGTCCCAAGCACCGTACATCTCGGCCTGGCTTCCCCAGCGAGCCCTTGGTGCCTGCATCGCCCCTCTCGCCTTTCTGGCCCTGCAGAAGGAAGAGGCAGTGACGGGGGCTGAGGGAAGGGACTGGAAGAACCAGGGCAGCCCCTTCTGAGGGAGGGACAACTGCCTTCTAGACCCCTACTCTCTGCCTCCCCTGAGATTGAACGGCTTCAGTTATCACAGGAGGGTAGACAACAGGAAGAACTTCCCAGCCAGCCAGGCCACTCACTCGGGGAGTCAATGGCATTTCCCTCCAGCTCTGCTGGGTATTTGAACAAGGCAGGATGACTGGGAGGGATGGGGGCAGGTACTGCCAACTCTGTGCCCATGAATACCATCCTCTCGGAAGACTTTGGACACCAGCTCCTCATGGCTATAGGGCCCGCAGACCTCCCTGGCACCCACCCCCCAAATCCAAGCCTGTTACCTTCTGGCCTGCTGAGCCTGGGAGTCCTGAGGGTCCCTGAGATGAGGAGAAGACACAAAAGAAGGGGTGAGGAAAGGAGGGTGAGGCTGGGCCAGGACCCACGCCCCTGCCCCAACCATGGTCCCACACTCACCAAGGCTCCTGACTCCCCCTTCTCTCCCTTCAGGCCTTCTGCACACTGAACAGGGAGACAAGGTGTTGAGAGGGGTCCAGGGTCAGCCAACGGGCTGTGGCGGGCAAAGCCCCTTCCTAGAAACTGGCCCCGCATTGGCCCTGAATCAGGCCTCAGCTCTGGATCTTACCTGAAGCGGAGCATCCTGGGATATTCGAATGCAATCATTGCCCTGGGGGTAGGGAACAGGGGATCAGGGGTGGGGCCTCACTGGGGAGTCATTCTAGACCTGTCATGGGGAGCATTGGGCCAGGAATCCCACAGTCCCAGGTGTCCCTAGAAAATAAAGGCTTCTACACACTAACCCCTAGAAAGACCCTGGCCCTCTCCCCCCACTTGGGCCAGGCTGCAGGCTTCCTGCTGAGATGATGGGATGATGGCTCACGCCCCCCCTCTCTCCCCACAGGGCACAGCTGGGAGGGGTCCCTCACAAGGCGTGGCTGGAGCGCTTACCCGTGCTCCCTTCTCTCCCTTGGGTCCTGATGGGCCAGGCATGCCCCTCTCACCTTTCCCTCCCTGTGGGTGAAACCAGAACAGGGGCTGGGACCAGAGGGGACAGGTGGGAGCCTCGAGGAAGCACTCCCCACCCCTGGTCTCCTCCACCCACCCACCACACATGGGTGTGCAAATGTGCACACACACAGCAGTGCCGGCTCCGCCCCAACCCCCGATGCAATCAGCATATGGACCCCACAGGAGTTCATCCACATATCCCCTTACCCCAAAAGGCAGTTTTGGGCAAACCTACAGCCTCACACAGAAGGTATCCTTCCCCCACACTCATACCCAAGCACACCAGCTCGCACACAGCATGTTCAGAGGCACATGGACGTGTGCACGGACACACGCACAGGATGGCAGAAGCCCATGAGGCCTGAGTTCAAATCCTGCTTCCATCACTTGCTAGAACATGATTCAGGCCCAGTGATGTCACCTCTCTGAGCCTCAGTCTCCTCATCAGTGTGGTGGGGTTCACGTCGGCACCTATCTCGAGGGCTTGTGGCGAAGAAGGAAGGTGATGGTGCGGGCAAAGCGCATGCACAGAGCCTGGCACTTGGTCAGCTGTCACGTGGAGCCAGCTTCCAGAACCGTATGATACATGCACGGGCGCATGCACGCTCTGCTCATACCTGCATGTGCTGCCTGTCACAAGCTCTGCAGC